TGTTTGTTTCCGCCGTTGAGTCTTGCTCCCAGGGCGTGCGTCCCTGGTCGCCTGCAGCCAATCAGTGAACTGATGCAGTCTGATTGGCTACTTTTCGCAAGAAGAGCTTTTCACATGACGAGCTCGGTGCCGGAGTGGCTTAAACTCGCCAATCAAGGTTGCACTGTATATACTTTGGGCTGGGACTGGGCTCGTCAGAGGCCCCTTATTCGTCGAATGATTCGCTATCGAAGAATTCCACGCCATCGGTCAACTAAGCAACGGAAGAGACCTACCCATTTTTGCTATCGTCGATTTAAAAAAGGGTGTGGAATCCAACTTTGGGGCTCAGAAATTGTTTCAATAATCTAATGTTTTCGCGACAAAATAGCGCGCCATAGATAAACACAGAAATTTGCTTACATTTTTTACTTATTAATTTACCTGAGGTCCAACTTAGCCTTCTGGAGTTACATTAGTACAGTTCGTGGCGCTTCGCGCCGCGCACACCTTCAATGTACATGCGAAAAAAACTTTATTTTATTTGGCTTATTTATTTTTAAATTCAGTTTTAAGTTTTGTTTTCAGTTCATTATTACGTTTGCTATTCTTATTTTAGTTTTAGTTGATTTTTTAATTAAGTTACTTTACCTTAATTCAGTTTACGTTTTTAAGTTAATTGCTTTTTAGTTTTAGTTAGTTATCTCACAATATTTGCATAATTGCACATTTTAATTATAACACGCTCTTTGGCAAACTTTAGATTATTCAAATAATTATTCTAATTTTTTCTACTTTTATAAACTTTATTTTTTCTTTATAGTTCCTCTCTTTTGTATTGCCTAGACTGCAAACTCTTTGTGACACTCAGTTCTGTAATACACAAGGATGGAGCTTTCACGTGCTGATCTGGGACCCAACGTAGAATTTTTCCAAAAGGGGTAGCAAACAGGTGACATACTGTAGACGGTACTTAAGAGGTTGCTTGAAGGACCTGTTTATTTTCCTCTAAGCGTACAGTTGGGGTCCTGCTGATAAACTAGATGACTGTACGCTCAGAAGATTAACCAACCACCCGCGGTAGAAGCCACCCCCCGCGGTCATTGCAGTCAATAGTTTAATATTGAGTAGTCATCTCTTTCCACGTCCGCAAGAGGACACCTATATGGTGCTTATTTTTTCCCCACTACTGTAGAAAGTCTCTACGGCCTCCTAATGACGGCCTTACTGAACAATCAGTTGGACTTTGTGAAGCTACTGTTGAAGCTGGGCGTCGACCTGCAGGATTTTCTCACTGTCGACCGGCTGCACTGTCTCTACAATTTCGCTCGCAATCGTGGCGCATTCGTTTCCAACCTGCGCAACGCCGACCTGCACAGACGCTTCGCCAAGGAGGCGCTACCACCAGAGGAAGAATGGGTCATTCAAGAGGCCCAGAAGTATTCCCTGCACTGCGAAAGCGGTGATGCTCTGCGCGCCGCATTCGCTGCCTTCCTGGGCCACTTTGTGGACAAAAAGGTGCAGAGCTATGTGGACACTCTGTGCAAGGAAGAAGAAGCCAGGCTGTCTAGGTTAACCGACAGAACGGTCTACCTGTCCACGGTCGCCAAGTTTCTGGGACACGACTTCAACCTATGCCTGTACAATCATGACACACCGGTAAGTGGGGGAGATTCAATACTTTCTCAATGTCGGCTATTGTTGGTGGTGGATCCTCAAATCAACTTGGGTTTCTTTTCGGTTATAGAAAAACTTCTCTCGTACGGAAATGAGTGAGATCCGGTTCAGAGAACCTGCAGACGTAAGTTGATGCCCCGATGACCTCTGGTAGTCATGTGTTGGCTGACCCTATTCTCTACTTATGTATAAAGAGAATACCGGCTTGAATTCTTTCCTGATACTTTCGTAGTCTTTTTGTAATAGAGTTTAGCTAAAATTTGTAAAAAATTTTACACGAGTTCGAACCTTGAAACTTATTTGGGTCGGACCTAGTTATCTTACACTTTCCCCGGACTGTGGTAAAATGGCACCCGTTATACCGGAACGCCAGTTATAGGGGGAGAGGGCGTTTCGAAAGGGAAACGTGATTTTCTTAAATATATATCAAAGGCAGAAAAAATGTATTTGTGCTACGTACTCGTTTTAATGAACTAAGGATCACGTTATAGGGAGATAGTTCAGGGTTGTACACTGGTTCGTGAACAACCTCGATTTGAATCTAGCGTCTCTTCGACTTGCGATTAAATCACAGATGTCTAACAATGAAGAATCAAGCAAAAATAGTCATTTTAAATACCCTATTACTGTGCTGGTGACGCTTCTCGATTATTAACTGCATCTACTCGTGTGGCTTCTGGATGAAAAGGAGGCGTCTTTTTTCCGCCCTGTTGTCAAAATAGATGGGTTCACGCCCTCTCCAGGTGATCCTGTATATATTCCCGATCCCGTAGGATAGGCCACGAGCATATGCTCACAGTGTTTTTCGGATTTGAAGTTAGTTTAAGTCTGGCTGACGATAGCGGATGCACCTGAAGGAATTACTCCTGTCTCCTTTTTACGGTAGTGCTGTTCGATGCAGAAAACAGACTTCAACAAACGCCACACCGTCTACACCGACTTGCCTCAATTCTTGTAGAACTTCTTGTGCGATTGTAGGTTTACTCAGGGTAACAGGTTATCATAGTATCTGTGCTATTGATGTGGTAAATTACACAGCATATGTCTACTACTCGCTGCCTGTTGCCACTTTATGAGTATTAAGTGGTTATGACACTGTAGGTGATAGCTTAAGGTCAAAATTTTCACATAAAATTTCCAACGTCAGAAGAAGACGACTCGATGGCTGGGACAATGCTTTTATTGGTTTGACGTTTCGAGATCCGTCGCGGATTCATCATCAGAGACCTACACAGAGAGCGGTAACAGATACAGGGACCTCCCATTTCGAACTTCAACACGATGGCTTTACTTTAAGTTAGCGATTAATGTCTGGAGGGTTTAAAAGTGGGAATTTTTAAACTGGAGTATCGACTAGAAGGCACACGGGGAACAGTAGAGTACCCATCAGTGCGTCAAACTTCTCGCAGCTGTGGCATTCATAGGAAAAATGTCAGCAGAATACGTGTCTGGTCTTTTAGCTAGTGCCGGTGCGACCAATATGGTGAATCAGACAACATAAGTTACTCTAGGCATTCAAGTCTCCGTTTTTTGATATCGGATTTAAAAGACGCCTAACGGAACGGTGTCATGCTGCAATTTCAGCTTAACCCAACCATTTTAAAGGTTTAGCCTCGTTCCTAAATAGTTGACTGGGAGACCTCCAATAAGATGCATGAATTAGGCACATGTATCTGGAAACTTGGACTGAAGTCGTTATTTTTTCCCCATTATGCTTGAACCATCTTATCAGCTATTCACTGCATAACTTCACTTCGCAAAACGAAAAAAGTGATCTGGTTTACTGCTTCAAACTCAAATTGTACAAACTGTTTCCTAGTCTGAAAGAAGCTTCCGAGTTTCACCTGTTCTTCAGTCGATGCATCTATTGATGTTTTCATGAATACCTGGCTCTCTTGCCTTCATTTTAATCATATACAGTATTCGCCAAAAAATCACGCAACATGCCGAT